TGGCATTCAACTGCACACCCGCAAACCAGTGGTGGAATTCAGCCAGTTCACACCACTTCGGCAGAACCAGTAGCTAATTTTTTGTTGCCCAAGACCAGAATGGACTTCCGGAAGCAGCATCCACCCTGAGAACCAGTTGTTCACCTATTTGAATCCCACCACTGCTGCAAACCAATAACAGCCTGTTTGAGTTTAAGGCCTTCTGCCTTGTATGGTGGAACCACTGCAACCCAAATCTGAAAAATAATATGAAAATTTATGGTTGCTCCCGTTGAAGCCTGGAGTTGGTGGACAGTAGTGGGTCTTCAATAAATCTTCATTGTTCCTTCCATCGTCCTAGATTCTAGGATACAGTAGTCTCCAATCCCTCTGAAAGTTCCCTTAATCTTGTGTAGAGAGTAAGGAAGGTGACTTCAGGAATGGAATTTGCATGTCTCTGTCAAGGTCCTCTTCCTTACTCTCTACTTCTTGATGTCACTGAGACCCATCTCCAACCTTTACTTTCTGACATTACTTTATCCAGCTCTGACCCTTGTCTTGTGGTTTTCCTCTTGTAACCCCAGAGAACAATCAATGGTTCTCCACCTATAAAGGCTGCGTGCCAACCAAGAACTGTCCATCTCTTTCCACGAGTTTCACGTTTCCTTCGAAGCACGAGCGAAGGACGGCCAAGTGTTGCTACCATGATTTCTGCAACAAAGGAGCTGTGAAATGTAAGTTTCCCCCCAAAACAACTTCTGAATTCTTATTGATGGATGTTACTCATTACTAAGGACCCAAAAAATTATGAGTGAGTCCTGCTCGGATTGGACCGAGACATTCTTTAGAACTTTTCTCCACTACTCTTTCTTGTTCTCTCAAAGCAGAAGAGGGCTTCGGAGAAATTCGCATGGGTCTCCTTTGCATGTGGACAGATAGTCCTTGACTGAGTCACCCTTCGAAGTTACAACAGCCCTGAGAAAAGCGACTTATGACCATTTCTCATGACCGTTGCAACATCCCACGGTCATGGGATCAAAATTCAGATTTGCAATAATGGCGAATATCTGTAGCCGGGGTGTAAGAGCTTGTGGGTTGGCTTCCAAACATTTTGTTACCAGGCTAAATAACATCTTCAGTGGAGTTTAGGGGATGTCAGTGTTCTACTGTTTATAAGGGCTTCAGGTGTGGGTGTGTCAAGTGAGGGTCTTGTGATGGGTCTTGTGATGGGTCAGGTGGGAGTCATCAGTGGGAGACTTGTGATGAGTCTTGTGATGGGGAGGTTACATCAGGTCAAGGTCATTGGGAGGTGAACTGCTGGTTGAGGGGGGCTTGTGTGGGTTGGTTGAAGGTCAGTGCTGCCTCTGGTTGGCTGTGCGGTGTCATTCCGACAGATGAAACTCTTCAAAGAACTCTGAGGCATTATTTACCTTAAAGAATCTTTATTTGAGTAGCATAGCATCGGCACTAACATAATCAAAGCCAAAAACTGAGTTCCCCTCCCCTGAGCACATAGTATCAAAGCACAATTCCCTCCTCCAGTTAACAATCATAAATCACATTCTCCAATTAGTTTGAAATGCAGGCTTCCCCTCCAGTTCTCCAGCCCGCCATTTCCTATCATCTCTTATTTCAATAACCTTGGTTCTCACACTAGGTTTAGTATTGCTATGTCTAGTTAACTCTCATGCACATTCCCCCCCCTGGTATCATCTAACTCTAACTCTAACTCTAAGAGTAAAACAAAAGAAGAAAATGGATGCATCTCCATCTGTTGTCAAAGCAAAAATATCCGATGTTAGCAGCGTTGACATGCAGTTGATTTCGATTCTGAGGGATGCCTAGGCTGGTTGTAGGTCAGTGTGTCTGTTGATGGAATTGCTTGTGGAATTCCAGGCTCCGATGAACTCATAAGCATGGCAGGTGGTGGCGTGGCCGATGATTTTTGTGTGGCTCCAATCAAACTGGTGCTGTGTGCATGAAATGTCCATTCCCTAACAAGCTGCAGCTTTTCAGACTCCCCGCTCTTCAGATGAATTGCAAAGGGAAGCATGAAAGAAGACTTCCCATTGAATTCTTTCCAACTGGGAAGGTGAACAGACATGGAGGTTTCGAGCACTGGAAAGAGTTTGAAATATCTAGTGAGGGGTCCTTGGTGCTCTCTGAATTTGATTGTTTTCCTGCAGATGTTTCATTACTCCAACTAGGTAAAAGCATCAGAGGAAACTGGGATATGTAGAATTGTGCAATGGTAGCTAAAAACATTTTTGATTCCGGGCATTGAGTTGATTCATTTCTTGCTTAGAGTAGTGTTTTTCCACCTTGGCAACTTTGAGACGTACGGGCTTCATTGTGCTGGCTGAGGAATTCTGGGAGCTGAAGTCCACCCATCTTAAAGTTACTAAGGTCGAGAAACGCTGGCTTAGACAGACGAGGAAGATCCAAGAGGCAGTGGAATTTTTTAGTTGCACAAGGCTATTTATACAGTTGCATATATCTGATTTAAATAGAATGAGATCTGGGTGGTGCAGATTAATGGGTGGTCTGATTTAATTCAGGGCTGAATGATACAGCCCAATCAGATCCAATAATGGATCTCCTTGAAGTTGCTGACATAACCCTCCAACAGTTAAGTTGCTCTTACCCACCTATGTGATGGCTTCTCCCAGTGGAAGACGCAAAGAAAACACGAAATGGACTGAAATGCCCAGGATGCTTTTCAATGAATCTGGAATGTCAAGCCACAGAGATGTTGAACTGCCATGACCAGGAGCAGAAATGTGTTTACATGGGTGTGACTATGCAACACGGTAAGTCCTTCAGATGTGAAGAACTAGAAAGAGGAGCCATTTTGGTTCATACCTTCCATGGGGCCAAATATTTTGGGAACAGGTCAATAGATCTTTGTAATATTTTTGTACCTTGAAAGGGAAGATATCTATACATGTTTACTACAGATAATCCTTGATTTACAACAGTTCATTTAGAGTCCATTTGAAGTTATCATGACACTGAAAACAATTACTTATGATCGTTTTTCACACTTACGACTCTTGCGACATCCCCAGGGTCACGTGATCCAAATTCAGACGCTTGGCAACTGACTCATATTTATGACGATTGCAGCGTCCCGGGGCGGAGGGCGTGTGATCCCGTTTTGCGACCTTCTGGCAAGCAAAGTCAATGGGGAAGCCAGATTCACTTAACAACGATGTTGCTAACTTAACAACCGCAGTGATTCTCTTAACAACTGTGGCAAGAAAGGTCATAAAATGGGGCAAAACTCACTTAACAAACGTCTCACTTAGCAACATAAATGTTGGGCTCAGCTGTGACCGTAAGTCGGGGGACTGCTTGTACCCTCTTTGGACACTTGATTTGGAAGCATATTCAAAAGACTTTTGTTGTTTTCTGATTCTGAAGTAGTTAAGAAGAGAGTTTTACTTCTGCTTAAGGTCTTCTTCTGCTGGTTTTTCTAGCTGGAATGAAATATCCCTAAACTATATGCCTCTTATTCCACTGATCAAGGAATCTGAGGTCCTGAAATGTGAGAAAGCAATGGCCCACATGATTGAGACAAATCACCAAGGCAGGCTACTATAAATCATTCTCACAAACTTGGAAGCTAGATACAATAACTATAAGGTGTAGAAAGGAATGATGTAGAAAAAAACCTGTAGTGAGTCTACCACAGGGGTCCCCAGTACCAGCCTCATTTTGTTTGCTTATTCCTTGCCTTTATTGTTGTTAGCAACAACTCAAGGTGGCAAACATAACTAATATTCATTCTTCCTCCTGTTTTCCCCACAATGACAACAACCCTGTCAGGGTAATTCAAGGCAGGCTGGGACTGCTTCGAAAAAGTTCTTTTGTGTGCTGCCTGCATCTTGCGGATGGGGCTTTGCTTGCTTGTGCGGGCCGGTTGCTGGCATGCCACGGACCGGTACTAATCCACGGCCCGGGGATTGGGGACCCCTGATCCAGATCATACAATTATCCCAAAGGTGCTTTTTCACAAAAATCCAGTTGCCTTGTGAAAAAGCACTTTTGGGAATCTCCTTTTAGACACGAAAGCTTACCTGGTGACTTTGGGCTGAGAGAGTAACGGGCATCTCAGACGATTAAGGCTAGGCAAAGTTGGCTGTGTTATGAAAAGAGCCCCTTTTCTAAATACACTAGCTTTAGTAACAGCCCCTTTTTATTTTGATAGATTTGCTTCCCTTGAAGGAAGTTGCAGGGCATTACTAGGATAGACAGACGGGAGGCGACATAAGCAAAAGGGCTTCTAGTCCAGCTTTTAGTCTGCTCCACATCACACAAAACTTCCTGCATTACAAAGGACACAAAACATTGCTGCCAAAAATACCCTTGAGGATAACAAGGCAGTGTCCAACAATGACATCATCGCTAATGTTCTCCATGATTCCTGCTGCTTCACCTGCCGTCATCGGGGCTGTTTAGGGAAATGAGAATATATGGGGCATTAACAGAGAGCAAGTCCAAGAGACGTTAATGCCACCCACCTCGTGAACATCTGCAAATAGCTTAGAACAGGGGTCCCCAACCCCTGGTCCGCAGCATGCCAGCAACCGGTCCACACAAACAAGCAAAGCCCCATCCGCGGGATGAAGGCAGCACACAAAACCACGCCCCCTCCGGTCCACTGAAAAAACCTCTCTCCACGGAACCGGTCCCTGGTGCCCAAAAGGTTGGGGACCTCTGGTTTACAGCAGAGGTCCCCAACCCCCAGTCCGTGGACCGGCACCAGGCCGCGGCATGCCAGCAACCAGTCCGCACAAACAAGCAAAGCCCCATCTGCGAGATGCAGGCAGCACACAAAACCACGCACCCTCCGGTCCGTGGAAAAACCTCTCTCCACGGAACCGGTCCCTGTTGCCCAAAAGGTTGGGGACTTCTGGTCTACCAGCTATCAATGCAGATGTTCAAGGTCCAGGCCTCTCTCCTTGACTGTAACAGAGTCCAGATCCTCCAGAGGTGACATTTCCCCTTAATTCCTGCAGATAATGAGATCTACGTGTTTGCCAAACGTGGCTGTGGAACCAAGCAAGCTTGCAGGAACAAAGAGCGCACTTTTGGCATCCCTGGGTTGTATGCAGAAATTTGGAAGAATGTTACATGTTCTCATGCTGCCAAGTGATTGATTTAATGAGCAGGGGGCTAGTCCCTCAGATCCTCAAGTAGAGCTTAATTGGACCGAGTTCTGATTACCTCGAACAATGAGCTCATTTCTTTTTTATGGCTGAATAAAATCTCGTTGTGCTTCTTTACAACAATGTTGCTGAATTATTGAATGCTTCCTCCGGGGGGGGGTGGGGGGAGGGTTCATATGCTGCCTTTTGGAACTGATCTCTAGTTACTTTTTGCAAATTGGAAATGTCCAATACTTTTAGGGTGAAGTGCTGTACACTCCTGCAGGGCTAATGACATTCTTTCCTGTTCTCCAAAGTTCAGACTTGCTTATACAAAATTTAATTCCTTACTTTTCAAATGATAATTTAACACACACAATGCAGAAGGAAGAAATGAGATGGGGCAAATAATTACACCGCGATGAGTCAATTAGATACACTTACAAGCAGTACTTAATGTACTGTCTTCATATTTGGGGAAGTAACAATAGCTGATGGTCCCCTTGTTTCTCCTCCCAGGGCAATAGCAATAGCACTTAGACTCGTATATCGTTTCATAGTGTTTTGCAGCCCTCTCTAAGCAGTTTACAGCCTGTGGCCCCCAACAATCTGGGGCCTCATTTGATCGACCTCGGAAGAACGGAAGGCTAAGCCAACCTTGAGCCAGTCAGGATCGAACTGATGGCAGTCGGCAGAGTTAGCCTGCAATATTGCATTCTAACCACTGTGCCACCCCAGCTCCTATCAGGCTCTGGAACAGTGGTTCTCAACTTTTTAATGCCGCGACCCCAACCGGTCGTAAGTCGAGGACTAAACCGGTCGTAAGTCGAGGACTAAACCGGTCGTAAGTCGAGGACTACCCAACCAGTCGTAAGTCGAGTACTTTCCCTGCCCAGGAGCGCCGTGCATGCATGGTTCCGCCCCCTGCGCTGGCCGAGGCGTAGCTTGCAAGCGGCAGAGACGGAGCAGGCCGACCACCAGCTGGCCCAGCCCAAGGGAGGTAAGGCACCCGCCAGAAAAGGGGAAAAAATGGCGGACAAAAAAAATGGTGGACAGCCTTGCTTGGCGACCCCCGTGAAATGGTCGATCGACCCCAAATGGGGTCCCGACCCACATGTTGAGAACCACTGCTCTGGGAGAAGGGAGAAGACCTCTGCCCAGACCACGAGTGAGGAAAGCCTTGTTGAAATACTTTGTATTTTTCCTCTGCCCATTGATCTGAAAAGTGGCAGTCTTAGCTCTCTGCATGTCGTTCTGGTCACTAAGCTCAGAACAAGGGTTTCAGTCTGTGACTGATCCTTTCTGCAACTTGGGAGACCAGGAACTGTGCTGGCCAACCATCCTCATTGTCTTCTTGTCCCTCCTACTCTCTCCTGCCAAGAAGCTATAAGTCCTCATNTAATAATAATAATAATAATAATAATAATAATAATAATAATAATAATAATAATAATAATAATAATAATAATAATAAAGTTGGAAGGGACCTTGGAGGTCATCGAGTCCAACCCCCTGCCCAGGCAGGAACCCTACACCATTTCAGACAAACGGCTGTCCAGTGTCTTCTTAAAAACTTCCAGTGTTGGAGCATTCTGGAGGCAGGTTGTTCCACTGGTTAATTGTTCTAACTGTCAGGAAGTTTCTCCTTAGTTCTAGGTTGCTTCTCTCCTTGATCAGTTTCCACCCATTGCTTCTCGTCCTGCCTTCAGGCGCCTTGGAGAATAGCTTGACTCCCTCTTCTTTGTGGCAGCCCCTGAGATATTGGAACACTGCTATCAAACTCTCTCCCTGCTAGGGGTTTATTTCCACTTTTTAATGCAATGCAGAGTTTGTGCAGTTTTGAAAGAGCGGAATGAGAATCAAGCGATGGGATCACTGAAACGGGACGCTTAACTCTTCCATTTCCCTGGAGTTTTGATCATGATCATTAGCTTCCCCACCAGCACAGATGTTTTCTTACTACTATGTCTTGTCCCACTGCCCAATAAAATATGAGCTGCCATCTTGACTTTTTTTACCGTAGCCTGGGATTGTTCCTGGCTCCAATGGTGGACCGACTCTTAATATTTACCTGTGATTTATCTCTTTCAGGGCTTTGTTTGAAGTGCGAACACTGCAGCAGCAGCAGCGGTTTCTGTACTGGAACGCCACACATCTGCCGCCCGTTTGAAAACACCTGCCTGATTCTGACCACCGAGACAAGCATTGGTGAATGACCTTTCTGGCTTACTCCAGATCTGACCACTTACCCACTCAGGACTGGAAACTTAGAGGGAGGGCTCCGTTCCATGAGCAGGGCTGGTAGTTGAACAGGGTTTGTTTTGTTACCCCCTGAAATGATGAACATACCAGAGTTAGCAGGATGTACGTTGAGAAAAGTGGAAGGATTTGAATTTAAAATAGACATTTTCTGGCGTAATTTGGGTATAAGTATGTCTCTACCTACAGATGCCCTCGAATATTGCGAGGAACCGTCATCTGGCATAGGAACAATGAACTCATTTATTGTGGGATGACGTGAATTTGAGGAAGTAGATTAAAGTCAAGGGCCATTTAGGAAGGCAGACAGTGCTTTACTTATGAACAAGTGATGTTCTAAAAGGTTGTTTGTAAGTCTATTTTGTTTACAAGCCCTATCAAGTATACCTATGTGATGTGCTATAAACTAATCTTCCTCCAGTCTCCAGTATATTCTGGGTTGGAGTTGCAAGCAGTTGGAGTTGTTCGTATCGGCGCAAGTTTGCAACTCAAACATTCCTAAGTGGAGTGTTTGGGTCCCAGTGGTGCATTTGAAAGTTTGAGAATATATTCTGGGTTTTATTTTGTATGTGTGTATGTCAGTGTTAACTCCTGGAGACTGTCTGGACAAATTTCTGCAGTATTCTTGGCAAGGTTTTTTTGGGGGGGAAGTGGTTTGTCATTGCCTCCTTCTTGGGGCTGAGAAAAAGTGACCAGCCCAAGATCACCCAGCTGGTTTTGTGCCTTAGATGAAATTAGAACTCACTGTCTCCCAGTTTCTAGCCTACCACACTCAAACTGATTCGGTATTATGGGCACATATATCACAAATGGCTGCTATGGCCTATAACGAAACACTGATTTAGCAGTGGCAAAACTCTGGCGAGGTTGCTCCTTGCCACTCCGCTCAATTAACCCTCTTCATGACGTCGAAGCTAACCGGAGATAATTCTGGTTATTTCTTTTCCCTTTCCAAATGAAGCCCCTTTCAATCCCTATCTTAGCCCCTATCTTGACTACATCTCTTTCCCCTCCATAGGCAATGAAGTGTGGCTTGCCACTTACAAAGGCTGCAGCAAAATCAAGTATTGTGTCCCATCACCTATGAGCTTCACCCTCCCTTCCAGACGCAAGCGGAGTGCCGCAAAGTGTTGTCGCAAGAATCTTTGCAACAGTGGAACCGTGACATGTAAGCACTCGTTCCCCTTACAGTAGCAGACTCTTCCAAGTCTGACGATGCTTCCCCATTTCCCTGCCCCTCCATTCCAGAAAACTGGGAAGGGTCAATTCTGAGACACTTTCTCTACTCCCATTCCTGGTTTAGATTCATATGTCTCTTGTCAGAGTGTTGTTTAAGCTGCGGTTCTTTCTGCTATCTTTCAAGGTTATTCTCACAGCCCATTATAGGTTGTTGTTGTTAGTTGCAAAGTCGTGTCCGACCCATCGCGACCCCATGGACAACGTTCCTCCAGGCCTTCCTGTCCTCTACCATCTTCTGGAGTCCATTTAAGTTCAGGCCTACTGCTTCAGTGACTCCATCCAGCCACTTCCTTCTCTGTCATCCCCTTCTTCTCTTGCCCTCCATCTTTCCCAGCATTAGGCCCTTCTCCAGTGAGTCCTTCCTTCTCATTAGGTGGCCAAAGGACTTGAGTTTCAACTTCAGGATCTGGCCTTCTAAAGAGTAGTCGGGGTTGATCTCCTCTAGGACTGACCGGTTTGATCGCCTTGCAGTCCAGGGAACTCGCAGGAGTCTTCTCCAGCACCATAGTTCAAAGGCCTCAATTCCATTATAGGTAGTGCTCACTTAATATCTGCCCGGTTTAGCGACTGCTTCAAATTATGTCTGCACTGAAAAAGTAACAACGTTATGGCTTATGCCCATCACAGCATCCTTACAGTCATGTAATCAAGATTCAGTGCTTCACAATTGGTGGGCATTTAGGATAAGCCGACTCCACGCAGAAGCTGGCCGTGAAACCATAAGTTGTGGGTCACCTGATGTCTCGTTTCATGATCATGGGTGATTCACTTAAGCACCATGGAGGAAGGGAGGTCGCATGTCCATCGTGGTCACGTGATGTCTTGCTTAAGAACCGTGTTTACTTAATGACAGAGTTGCCCGCCCCAATTGTGGTCCTTAAGTGAGGACTATCTGTATAAAATGTGACTTCTGAAAGCTCTGAGACAAACTCTAGTAAATCTTCTTGAGATATAATCGGAGAGCTGATCCTCGCTTTTCCTTTGGAATTCCAAGAACTCATAGTAAAGGTCTACGATGGGGACGTTCCAAGGGACTCCGAAGATGGGATGGCAATGTGATAATTTCTGCTTTGTTTTCCCAATTCCCCAAGTGCCCAAACTCGGGATCCGTCCAAATGGAATGAAATGTCCTGGATGCATCTCAGAGGATCCCACTTGCAAACCCACTGAGCTGATTCATTGCAACGGCTGGGAAGAGTATTGCGTCCATTATGATGTGACGGTAGAACAAGGTAAGAGCCGAGGAATAGTATTGCCACCTGCGGTGGTGATAGGATAAGATAAGAAGAAAGTGTGTGGACCAGGATGAGCCTTGAGGATGCAGGTAATTTCCAGTATTTAATGATAAAATTGAGGGAGAAGGTTGATTGATGTACAAGGCTTCCTTTGTGACCTCTGAGCGGCCTTCTGATCACAAGATAAATTTCTAGATAAATGCACAAAGACTGTAACGTATTGCAAAAAAAACCCCAGCCACACCACTATTTATTCATTTGTATCCCATCTTTATTATTTTTACAAATAACGCAAGATGGCAAACATGTCCAAACACACCTTCTTCCTCCTACTTTACCCACAACAACAACAGAACAATGAGGCAAGTTGGACCGAGAGGGTGACTGGCCCAACGTCACCCATCTGGTTTTCATAGCTCAGGTGGGACTAGAATTCCCAGTTTCCTGGTTTCTAATCTGTTGCTTTAACCACTATATCAAACTGGCTGTCTTGCCGTTTTGCTGTATGAAATGCACAAACCCTACAAGTAAGTCTAAAAACAGGCTTAAAACAGAATGAATCCATTTCTGTTATGGCCTTTTGGCCATTCAATAAATACAATAAATTTCATAACCTGTGTATTGTTTTTAAAATAAAATTAGCTGGGTCAGTGCAGTCACGTTGGGAATGACTGTGCTCTACTCTTAATAGCAATAGTTTAATGAGATTGCAGTCATTTTAATTAAATCCAGGCTCATCTCTGCAGAACAGCAGGTTACAATTACATCAGCCTTTTCCTTCCTTCCTTCCTTCCTTCCTTCCTTCCTTCCTTCCTTCCTTCCTTCCTTCCTTCCTTCCTTCCTTCCTTCCCTTCCTTCCTTCCTTCCTTCCTTCTCATCCATCCATCCATCCATCTATCCATCTATCCATCCACCCACCCAACTTATGTAACTGCTCATCTCACAGCAGTGACTGTAAAAGTTTTTCTTGCAAATATCAAAAGCCGTAAATATGTACATTTCTTCCTTGCATCCTGATAGAGGGTAAAGTACAGAGGAACATGTTCCGGTTGCCATAGCACATTTGTTTTAAGAGTATAAAACACCTCACCACAAATCCTGCTGAATGCCAGGAAATAACAATAAATCTGCCCGAAAACCCTGCCCCGAAGCTGATCCCACAATGTCCCTTGCTTTATACACAATGGACTTTGTTATCATCTTTCTCACTTTCTGCAGAGGGAAGATTCTATAGTCACGCAGAACGGGGCTGTGGAACCAAGAACGCTTGTCTGAACGAGGCACGTGTTTACGGAGTGCCAGGGCTATACAAGGAAATTATAAAGAAATCCGAATGCACGCCTGCTCCCAAAGTTATCGGCAAATAGCCCTGACTTTGGGAAAACACCGAGCAAGGTGGAAGAAATGATAACGCACCTTTCTTCTGAGTTGGCAGGTTTTCTATCAAAGGGGATAACATCCTTCTATGGAGTGAAGAAAAATCACATTTAATAAAATAAGTTTTAAAAATTTAAAAGTCTTGCTCGCTCCATACTCACTCATGTCCCCATTTCTCTGCTAATAATCGACCTATATTCATCAGGATTCGCTATGAGATATATTTTCTGGCAAGGAATATCTCTTCTTTTTATGTTTCAGTAATGTCTTCAAATGTGCATGTCTTCATTTTTTTTTTGATGAAGAAAGAAAATAAATTTGCTTGGTATTTGAAACTGAGTACATATTTAGGCATGACATTCACACACTACCTGGAACCCAGTTTCTGAGCGGATCTTTTTTCTGGGGTTGCCCAAATCAAGTTGAATATTAAAGTTAACTTAGCAGCCAATATTTATACACCTTAAATTACTAATAAAAAAGAAAGAACGAAAAACCTGAGTGGAAAATTCTCTGTGCAAATGCAGCCATCTGGTTTTATAATCAACCACCTCAACATCTTTAGTGAGAGCAGACATCCTCATAACAGAAGCAAACAGCTGCTAGATAGATTCCAATATTGGCATACAGTAATGAAAGATAAACATGAAATATTGTTTACAAAGTACAATTAGAAAATTTTACGATATTTATTAATATGTACACACAAAGGAGATTTATGTAAGCATAATGAAGGTCAATGCAAGTAAAAATAAAATAAAATTATTTAACAGAATAACAGAATTGGAAGGGACCTTGGAGGTCTTCTAGTCCAACCCCCTGCTCAGGCAGGAAGCCCTACACCATTTCAGACAAATGGCTGTCCAGCCTCCTCTTAAAAACTTCCAGTGCTGGAGCACTCACAACTTCTGAAGGCAGGTTGTTCCACTGGTTAATTGTTCTTTCAGGAATTTTTTTCTTAGTTCTTAAATATGTTGATGTCTTTTTTTTTTTTTTTGCTGATGTCCACTATATAGTGGGGTGGGGTAATTTTACTAACAAAATTTAAATTGCTCTAACAATAGAATGTTTCAACTGTTCTGTTGAAGAAAAAGTCTTCATCATGGTTCAGTCCAAGTTGGGAAAAAAAACATGACGACTGCTTTAGAAAGAAGGTAGCAGTTTATTGAAGAGGAGAGCCAAACAGAAAGATGGCTCTGGAAGAAAAGAGAGTGAGCACATGTAGGGAGTGGGTTTTTATACCTTCTTGAGCCTTTTGTTTGGAGTTGTTCCTGTGGCATGACCAAGGTCTGCCTGAGTCTGAGTGTGCCTTTCTGGTATTCTGATGGTGGTGGGTTAATCCTATTATGTCCCAAAGGTCAATCCTGCTTCCCTGGGGCTGTGGCTGATGACTCTTAGATTTTTGGTGTGTTGATTCTAGGGATCTTTCTTCCTAATCCCAGTTTCCTGACTCCAGTCTTTCTGACAAGATTATCACATCTGCAATACCGCAGATTTGGTTTCTGTTTGGGACAGAGAGACTTGGGGGCGAGGTTGGTTTCTGCTTTTAAAATCCTTTAGGGAAATATATTCTGTCTTTTAAATATTTCCCAAAAATATTTCTTTCTCTGGGGGGCCCTGATTTCCCACAGTTCCAACTGTTGAGCCCCTGTTTATTTATTTGTTTATTTATTTATTTTATTATTTGGATTTATATCCCGCCCTGATTCCAGATTCTATTTGCTGGTTTGATGAATCTTTTTCCTCCATCAATTTCTTTCCCTTAGCACAGACATGTCAAACACAAGGCCCGGGGGCCGGATGTGGCCCACGAAGCCATCCTGGAAACAGTGAGGGAACGGCCCCCGCTGCCTTGGCCCTGGCCCAGATCGGCCGGGAGCTAATGTACAATTTTGTGGTGGCCATCTATGCTGAAAGGCATTCAGTCTTAGCTCCACAAGGCCGTCTAGAAACAGCGAGGAATCAGCCCCTGCCACGTCGGCCCCACCTCCTGGGTGCATGCTGGGGAGGTGTCACCCTTTGTGAGGAATGAAGAAATGGACCATGCCTTGGCGCTTGCCCTGGTCCCACCCCCTTCTGCCAGAGACCCTCAGATCTGTCCCACTCCTGCCCAGGCCCCCACAGGCACCCTTGATGCGAACGATGTAGAGCTGGCCATGCCCACCCAGTAGGCCACATCCACTCCATCCATGCCCATCCAGTAGGCTGCATCCACCCTGACCACACACCCCCGGCCCCCCGAGGGCAACTGCAATGCTGATGCGGCCCTCAATGAAATTGAGTTTGACACCCCTGCCTTAGCATCTTCCCATAGTTAAGTGGCTGAAGCCTCACTTGAAGCTGAGGTAAGGAAACACTTAGGCATAAGGGATAACAAACAGCTTGCTTGGAATATTGAGCTGATTAAAACCAACCGTTTCATCCGGTTCTTTTCTCCCTACATACAGATGGCCGAACTTTGAATATAACCAGCCTGATATTGCCAGTTTTATTGGCAAACTTCTTGGTACAACGTTTCTTAGCAAATAATTCAAGGAAGAATTAAGAAGGAAAACTAAAGAAAACCTCAATGCTCGAGGTTTATTAATTCCCTGAAGAGCTAACAGTCTTCTGAAGGAAGCAGCTTTTATTCTCCCGTATTCCAAAGTGTAAATTCTTAATGGCAATTTAATATCCTAGATCAGGGGTGTCAAACTGCCAGCCCACGGGCCGGATGCGTCATGCCGAAACCGTGTCCACCCCATTGCCGGCAATGGGAAAAAAAGTTGTGATACATTGCGACATGTCATGTGACGTTGCGAGTTTGACACTCTTGTCCTAGATCATTCTGAAGTCTACTTTTTCCACACCCAAAAGAATGTCAATAAAGGTTATCTAGGGGTGAAAGTCAGTTGAAATAAAAGTGCCTTCTAACAATCCAAAGAAAAGGAAGTTCAGGTATTTTAGTTCCTAAGCTATACTTTGTTCTCTAAAGTGCTCTGTCTTCCTTCTTCCTTCTTCCTTCTTCCTTCCTCCTCCCTCCTAATAATAATAATAATAATAATAATAAAAATAATAATAATAATAAAGTTGGAAGGGACCTTGGAGGTCATCGAGTCCAACCCCCTGCTCAGGCAGGAAACCCTATACCATTTTGGACAAATGGCTGTCCACTCTCTTCCTAAAAAACTTCCAGTGTTGGAGCATTCACCGCTTCTGGAGGCAGGTTGTTCCACTGGTTAATTGTTCTGACTGTCAGGAAGTTTCTCCTTAGTTCTAGGTTGCTTCTCTCCTTGATCAGTTTCCACCCGTTGCTTCTTGTCCTGCCTTCAGGTGCTTTGGAGAATAGCTTGACTCCCTCTTCTTTGGGGCAGCCCCTGAGATATTAGAACACTGCTATCATGTCCCCCCTCGTCCTTCTCTTTGTTAAACTAGACATACCCAATTCCAGCAACCGTTCCTCCTCCTCCTCCTCCTCCTCCTCCTCCTCCTCCTCCTCCTCAAACAACACACATAAACTTTTTTATCCCCTATTCTAAGAATCCTGAATGTGAAACTGGATTAAACAAATAATTCAAATACCTCAGTTCCTGGAGTAAGAAGTCAATGATGTTCAACAAATAAATAATAACAGGTAAAACAATATAAAACAGCAAAATGGGTGCCGCAATTAAAAGCAGTACATATAAACCATATAAAAACCACATCAAGACGATAAAAAAAATGCATCAAGCTCATAGGCAAGGTAGACCCATCCACCAATAAACATCGGTGCGGCCGCTCTGCCAACTAGGACAGCCTTTCGATTCTCCATGCCCATTGGCAAAACCATGTTTTCAGGGCCTTGCGAAAGGTGTGGGCTGATAAATCTGGCCACCGAGCAACCGATGAGAATAATTTAAAAAAAAATCCACTAGAGAAAAGAAGAGGAATCTCTCCACGGATCTCAGCTCCCTGTAACTCAGACCAGCAAAGCAACTACACAGATAGTCCTCGACTTACAAGCATTTGGTTAGCAATCATTCAAAGTTACAATGGCACCAAAAAAAACCTGACTTAGGACCGGTCCTCACATTTATAACCATTGCAGCATCCTGACAGTCCACATGATCAAAATTTGGGCAGTTGACCACCGGCATGCATTTATGATGCTCACAGTACCCCGGGGCTCACGTGATCACCATTTGCGACCTTCCCAGCCTCGACTTACAACATTTCGTTTAGTGACTGTTCGAAGTTACAATGGTACTAAGTGACTAAGGACCGTTTTTCATGCTTACGGCCATCACAGCATCCCCGTGGTCACGTGATCGAAATTCAGGTGCTTGGCAACTGATTCATATCAAAAAGGCCAACACAGTGCTGGGCTGCATTAACAGAGGGATAGAATCAAGATCACGTGAAGTATTAATACCACTTTACAATGCCTTGGTAAGGCCACACCTGGAATACTGCATCCAGTTCTGGTCACCACGATGTAAAAAAGACGTTGGGACTCTAGAAAGAGTACAGAGAAGAGCAACAAAGATGATTAGGGGACTGGAGGCTAGAACATATGAGGAACGGTTGCTGGAATTGGGTATGTCTAGTTTAATGAAGAGAAGGACGAGGGGGGACATGATAGCAGTCTTCCAGTATCTCAGGGGCTGCCCCAAAGAAGAGGGAGTCAAGCTATTCTCCAAAGCGCCTGAAGGCAGGGCGAGAAGCAACGGATGGAAACTAACCAAGGAGAGAAGCAACCTAGAACTAAGGAGAAACTTCCTGACAGTTAGAACAATTAACCAGTGGAACAACCTGCCTCCAGAAGCGGTGAATGCTCCAACACTGGAAGTTTTTAAGAAGAGACTGGACAGCCATTTGTCTGAAATGGTATAGGGTTTCCTGCCTGAGCAGGGGGTTG